CCCCCTCCCCGCCCCGGGCGGTCCCTCGAGCCGGGCTGGAATGTGCGTGGTAGGGACAGAACCAATCCCATTAGCGCCAGGAGATTGTTTTTCGTTTGGGGTTGTTGAATCACCCGCGGCTCCGCTTCTTCGGGGTAGGTCATGGAAGGGAGGACGGGGAGAGGGAGCCCATGGATGTGTTTTCCCAGGTGGCCATCCATGGCATGGTGCTTCCCTGCTGGATTCCAGCAGCACCACGGGGTTTCCATCTTTGAAGGCCACGGGAGCTTTGTGGTGGCTCCGAGATGGTGCTCGGCACAATTTGAAGGAGCATTTATAAAGCAGAGGGCTCAGCTCCCACGGGAGAGGTTGGGAAGGTACTTTCCAGCTCCCCACCCTGCATCCTCATCCTCACTCCATCCCTGGATGGAGATTTAACCCCAGCTCCACTGGGGTTAAAGCTGAATTTGCAGCTCTGGGTGGTCAGGAGATCACCAGATCCCAGCCATGTGCTGGCAGGAGCCGGGCCAGGGGCAGCAAGAGGCAGCTGGAGCTGCTAGAAAATATCCTTTCCCAGCTGAAAGAGTTGTCCAGGCTCTTCTTCCACCATGTCCAAGTGTTCAAACCTGCTGTTTCACCCAGATTGTGGATTCTCATGGAAGACCCTCATTCCTCCAGCATGAGACAAGAATAAGACACCTCCCTCCGACCACTTTGTGTCCCCCGGAATCTCCCTGGGGTGTGAGTGGGGAGGGGTGAAGGGAAGCAATGGGTGCAGCCCCAGGTGAACCAGCACCATGTCCCCTCTGAATTGGTCACAGAGGATGGAAATGGGGGTTGGCACACAAATGTACAAGGCAAGGACTTCTTGGAGTCCTTCCCCTCCCTGCTGACCCAGTCCTGGGCTTTCTGCCCTCTGCGACATCCCTGGACCAAGGACCCCTTTTTCCAAGCAGAGACATCCCAAAGGGACACAACACAGGGCTCCAGGCACCTGACAGCGGGACAGGGAGCTGCAAGTGCTCCTGAAGCACGAGAGAACGGGATGAGAAACAGGGACAAACGGCTCCAGTGGGAGCAGACAGCAAGAGGGGAGGGAAATCCATGTGCAAACACATCCATTGCCCAGCCTGGCTCCTCTGCTGGAGTGTGAGAGCCCGGAGGAGCCAGGCCAGCTCCTGGCAGCTGGGATGTGCAAGGGAGGAACAGAGGGGAGAATGGAGGTGGCATTTTTGGAGGGGAGAACAGCAGCCCAGTGCAGCCACTGAGAGCAGCCAGGGGGGCTGTTGACCCAGAGAGACCCCCCCAACCCCCAGCACCCGCTGCTGGCACCGAGACCGAGCAATGGCCCAGAGGGGAGATGCCACGGGGGTCTGTGTGGAGTGTGGGGGGCAAACTGATGGCTTTTCCACGCTTTTTGAGGTCACTTCTTGCCACAGCCCCCACCAACTCATCGGTGATTACTTGTGGACCCCTGCCTTGTGGCCAGACATGTGGATGCACGGGGGCAACTGTGGGCATGTGGAGGTGAGCCCCTGCATGGGCTGGAGGGGGTGATTCCACCACAGCCTGGCTTTGCCCGCTGCCAGTGGGGCCACACACCACGAATTTTGCTTCCCCGTGAAAAAATAAAAGAGGGACTGAGAAGGAGAAGGCGTCGGCTGGAAAAGCCCCCCCCCGGCTGCCTGCTGGGGGGAGTGGAACCAGCTGATTTCATGCGTCTCCTTCTTGTTCCAGGGGGGGTCCCTCCTCACCTGCTCCTGGGCACAGCTTCCTGCACCCCGAGCCAGCAGCAAGGAATCTGACTCCAGTTTAAAGGCGAGGAGCTTGTCCACGGTTTGCAGCCCCGGCTCCCATCCCAGGAGGGGACCCGCTCGGAGCCGCTGCCCGCGGCGGGCAGGGTTTGCCAGCTGTCTGCACCAATCTTGTGCCTTTCCTCCTCCCTCTGCACCAGCCCGTGGCAGGGGGGTGCAGACAGCCCCAGGCTGGGGATCTGAGCCCCCAGCAGCACCATCCTGGGGTTCCCCTGCTTGCTCCTCCTCGCACCCAAACCGCTGCTGCGTCACCGCGGGGTGTCGAGGACAAACTGCTGCCATCACCCTCAGCCAGCCTGTAACAGGGCTCAGCGCTGATGCCTTGGGCTATGTGTGGAAAATTCTGGAGAAAGACACCCCCTGACATGCTGTCTGAGGGGCACTGGGCCTGGCAGTTCCTGCCCCTGGGCCATCAGCTTGTGCCCACCCCAAAAGCTGCTCAGTGCTGGGCTCCATCTCTCAGCCTTTCCCTCTTATCCTGACGGCCCCCAACACCCCCCTCTGCCCACCCTGGGACCCCGAGGCACCCAGCTGCCTGCTGAGGACCCCGTGGCAGCCCCCACATCCCATTACTGGCTGGGAAGTGCAGGCATGGCCCCCACTCTGCCTCCCACGCCCGCCCTGCACAGCCAAGGCCGCCCGGAGCATCCTCCCGCCCAGGCAGCGAGCTGGAAACACCATCCCTCTCCATTCCATTTAGGGACAACACCCTCCCGTGCCCATCCTGTGAGCACAGCAGCGTGCCCACACTCCTCTCCCCTCCAGCACTGAGGGGGTGACATCGCACCCCCAATTTAGGGCCAGGCAGAGAACGTGCTCCAGCAGCAGAGGCTGCCAGCAGGGAACACACCAGGCTCTGTGCATTCCTTTCGGATCCCTTTGGAGATCCTTCTTTGGCCGTGACTCATGTGGAGCACCCCGGCATCCATCCACAGCACCTCCACGTCCCTGGCTCCGCATCCCGGGGAAAACAAGCGGCGGAGGCCAAGGCCAGCCCCGGCTCCTCGGGGGCCCCGCGCCGCTGCTGGCTCCGAGGACGGGACCCCGCTGAGCTCCCGAAGTGCTAAAACCGAGGCTGCAGCCCTTGCGTGAGTGTTCCTGCCGGGTTTGGCACGGGGGGGAGGAGCTCGGCGGCTGCTGTGCCAGGACGAGTGAGTGCCAGCGGGGGAAAGGTGGGCACGCCCACGGGCGGACACGTCCCACCCACCCCTCGAAATGGGCGTCCAGGTGTCGAGGGGTGATTCTCGGTGGGAAAATCCCTTATTCCCCGACCTTTCCATGTGCCTACAGCCCTCCCTGCTGCAGCATCCCGGCCTCCTCCTCCTCCTCGCAGCTGACAGGGGGATGTTTGGGGTGAATGAGTCTCTGCCCACCCTGCACCCTCCCAGCACCCACCGAACCCACCCACCCAGAAGCAGCTCCCACAGCATCTCCTCTCCCACCTGAGCCTCCCAGTCCCGCAGCAGAGAGGAGCATCACCCCATGGCCACGCCAAACAGCCCAGCAGGGAATTGTCTCCAGTTTGCCGGAGGTTTCATCCCGGCTCAGTTTCCACAGACGGGATGGTGGGTTGGGAACAGCCCGGTGCCCTCCCACCAGCCCCATGCAGGGGATCAAACCAACACCCCGTGAGGTCAGCGGCTCACCCAGGTCTGGTACAAACCTTTTATTCCCCCTTCCCAGCTCAGGGCTGGGTTTGCCCTTTGGAAGCGAAGCCGGGAGGGCTCCACGGCCGTCCTTGTCCCTGGAGTTTTGTGTCCTGGGGACCGGGAGCTCTGCCGTGGCCGGAACGTCACAGACTCCACTGAGCTTCACACGGAGCCGAAAAGCGACAACGAAAAGTGTACCCCCAAAACGGACACGAGACCCCCATCCCCCCACAGCCTCCCCCAACCCACCTCCCCAAACCCAGATATGTCGTGTGGGTGACAGTGATACGGAGCAGCACGAAACGGGCAGGGATGGGGACGAGAGCCCCCCGCCCCACAACACCAGCCCTGAGGAGCAGCTGGCACACGGAGAGAGAGCCCGAAAACCCAAGGGTTGAGGGGGGGGTCAGGGGTAATAAGTTAATCTGTACAGATGTGTTAAGTGACAGGGGGATGGCGGGGCCAGCCTCCAGCACAGGGGTGCCCCTGTGGGGCGCCGGGGGCCAAGGAACCACATGCCTGTGCAAATCAAACCACGAAACGATGCACAAAGTGGGGTGATGGAGAACGGTGGGGACATGGGGAGGTGCCTCGGCTCACACCGGGAGGGAGGGGACCCCTCCATGCCAGGGGGCAGTGCTGGGGTGAGCTGAGGAGGTCCCTGTTGGCCGGGGTGCCCAGGGACACGGAGACCGGCTGCTGCCAAGTCCTGCCATCAGCCACAGTCCCACAGGCTGAGCTGCTGCCAGCACCGGGCAGGAATGCTGAGCCCAGGATGGAGCCATCCCGACAGGATGCTGAGCCCAGGATGGAGCC